ATGACACCCAAAACCAGTTGCAATCTTGGAATTATATATGTAAATGTTTCATGACACCCAAAACCAGTTGCAATCTTGTAAACGTTAGATCTTGAAATTGTTGTAGATCACAAGCTGAATATGAGCCAACAGTGCAATACAGTTGCAAAAAAGGGAAATACTGTACTATTTTAAGCTGCATTAACAGAAACATACCGGTAGTCTCCAAATCCCGTGAAATACAAGTTTCCCTCTATGTGACACAGATTAGACTAAGCTGCATTAACAGAAACATACCGGTAGGCTCCAAATCCCGTGAAATACAAGTTCCCCTCTATGTGGCACAGATTAGGCCTGTGTCCAGTTCTGAACATCACACTTTAAGAAGGATACTGTCAAACTGGAACAAGTTCAGAGGAAGGCAACAGGGATCATCCAGGGGACTGGAAGCCAAGCCCTGTGAGAAAAGACCGAAAGAACTGGGCATGTTTAGCTTTGAGAAAAGAAGACTGAGGGGAGATAGGATAGCACTTTTCAAATACAGTGGTGCCCCGCATAGCGAGGTTAATCCGTTCCGGATTAACCTTCGCTATGGGGAAAACATCGCTAAACGGAACGGGGCACAAATGGGCACAAAACTCACCGTTCAGCGATGTTCCTCCATAGCGGCAGCCATTTTCGCGCCCTCGGTAAGCGAGGGCAGGGCGTGAAACCGCTGCGCGCAGCCATTTTGGGTCGTCCAGCGGCCATTTTGGAACCGCCGAACAACTGATCCCCCGATGTCGCAATGCGAAGATCAGTAAGCGAAACGCTTACCGATCTTTGCAATGCGAGTTTTGCCCATTGCGACCGTCAGTATGCCTTCGCATTAGCGATCCCAAAAAACGGATCGCTATGCGAATTCATTGTTATACGGTGCACTCGTTAAGCGAGGCACCACTGTACTTGAAAGATTGTCTTAGAGAAGAGGGGCAGGATCATCCCAGAATGCAAGGCATGTAATAATGGGCTCAGGTTCGTTGTTTAGTTGTTTAGTTGTGTCCGACTCTTCGTGACCCCATGGACCAGAGCACGCCAGGCCCTCCTATCTTCCACTGCCTTCTATCTTCCACTGCCTCAAGTTACAGGAAGTGAAATATAGGCTGAATATCAGGAAAAAACATCCTAACTGTTAAGAGCAGCACAGCAATGGAACAAATTACCTCAGGAGGTGGTGAGCGCTCCAACACTGGAGGCATTGAAGAGAAAATTAGGCAATCACCTATCAGGTCTCCTTTGATTTGGATTCCTGCCTCGGATAGTGGGGTTGGACTTAATGACCTTTTAGACCCCTTCCAACTCCATTATTCTATGATGGTATGAAAATGACAGGAAGAGTGTGTGACATATTATGTCTGAACTTGGTCGTAAAGGCTGTCATCCAAAACAGCCCACTTCCTCTGATTGACTGCCAGATGTTTCCCAGCGTTGCTGCTCTCTGATCTGAGCAACCTACAGTTCCGAAACCCTAACAAGCCCGTGGCTTATTCTGAATCATGTGGCTCCTTGTCCTCTTTCTGAATGGAGTAAAACTGAGCTTGGCTCTGTATGATGAGAACTACTGCTTATTTCATAGGCAGCTACAGGGCTGGGCTATTTAAAATTCAAAATCCCTCAAGGACAGTGTGCGTCTCTGCAGGAAATCCCATCTCTCTTCTCCATCTCTTGCCTCTCCCGTTGTGGTTTAGCAATTGATCACCTTTAAATGCCCTCTGATTCTTTTTTTTGCTGGAAAAGCTACCAGAGCTGAAAGAGAGAGATCATGCTCCTGTTTGCACACTGAGAATCCTGCTTTTCCCTTAAACGGCCGGGGAGCCCATCATCATTTTGTTAGGCCAAAAGAGGGGAATAGCATGATGCATTTCCTATATCAACGGGGTTTTTCATTTGGAATTGACACAGTCATCAATGTCAGGCAGTTTATTGTGCTGGTTTTCTAATGGCCTTCTTTGGCAAACGAGAAAATGAAAGGGACCCAGCTCAGAATCTCACCATTCACAAGATGTAGAATTGCAGGCACTTGCTCCAGCTTTCTTGATACCCAGTTCTTAGTCCTTTCCTTTCTGTTTTGCACTTGAGAGGACACAGCGATCTCTCTGCCCTTTCTGCCACCACTCTGCCTGCCTCTGCTGTAGCGGCATAGATCCAAAGCGGTACTAATCCATCACAAGCAGCGGGCAAGCTGGCCGGTGAGCAGCCAGGCAGCTTTTAATATTTAGTGGAAGGGTTATTAAAGAGACTATAATCTAAGGCTCACTCAGTGGCATTTCATGAGACAGGCAAGGGCAGCCGTTGAAAGGGGGGAAAGCTTTTTTAATTGTTTAATACAACCTGAAAGTATAAACCCAACGCAAGCCACTATAAAATTGGCAACCGTAAAATGAAGATCTAACACAACTGTAAGACATGATTTTGTTCCCATTTTGGAAAAGAGTCAACGGCAAGCCCAATATTTATTGACCCAGATGCAATGGTCAATCTAGACCTAGTAAAATTATATTTGTCTAAGGAAAATCACATAAACCTTGGCAGCAGATTGCCACTCGTTAATTAGGTGTAGGTTGCATTCTTCGGTGTGGGTTAAGGACTGAAACAACTGCTTTTAGATTGGAAGGGCTCTAGGCAACCTGCCATTCAAGATCTCTACTCCAACATGCAGAAGGATACCAAAGGCTGGGAGGGGCCTGTCCCCCAAAGGAGGAGGATGATTATGAGAGCCCCTCAGTGGTCAGCAGTGGGGGCCCCACTTGGATATTTGGGCCTTGCAGTTGCCCAAGGATGATGGCCCCTGACACTGCACCTGGACTTGATTGTGGCAACAGCAGCTCCCCAGTTCTATTGGCCTTGTAGAGGATGACGAGGTCAATATCTCAAGCATATCACAAGCAAGGGATTCACTTGTTACTCGTTTTTAGAAATAAAAGCCTGACAACATTACACTTCAAAAGTCATGTAACAAGTGAGGCCGAAGCTGGTTTCATTTGTACAGTAAGTAATATTTTCCAATTATCTTTAAAACTGCCTTTAAAGAGCATTTTAGGGGCATTTTGCCAGGAATCTTTCAAGAGCTATGTCAATCTTTTTTTTATCAGGCCTAAAGTTTGTGTTTTTAATTCATTAAAAGCAAGGAAAGCAAATCAAACAAGGAAAAAAACACTGAAACATTATGACCAGTAATCAGCAACAAATTGTGTCTCAAAAATCACAACTGGCAATAGGAACAAATTACTTGGAAAGGTTACTTTTGAAGCTCAAGACAGAGCTCTTATTTATTTATTTCTTTGTTTGTTTGTTTGCTCGTTTTTTCATTCATTCATTCATTCATTCATTCATTCAAAACATTTTAATTGCGACTTTCTCCTTAAAAAGAATTCAAGGCAGCTTACGTCATTAATGTAATGATGTAACCCTCTTACAAAAAAAGTTAAAGCTAATATTTTGAGGGAGAACACAGCCCGTCAGTCAGCAGGATGGTTTCTTCAAGCCATCCAAACCACCATTTGGATCAGGCCCAGTCATCTCCTCTTGATCAAGGAGATATCACAGCATGGACTTCTGGGTCATGGTGAACTACATTAGGCAACATGTTGTGTTTGCATTCATTCTGTCATCATACAATCACCAGAATGTGACAATGCTCCCTTTTGGGGCTACAACTCTCCTAGACTCTGCTGGCTGTGGATTCTAAGGGCTGGAGTCCCAAACAGTAGGATTTTTGAGTTCAGGCCATTTCACGCTCCCTGCTGCTCCAACAGGTAGAAAGTTCCAGATGCTGCCTTTGACAGGGTCACCTCTTGAGTGAGGAGGAAACAGTGGAAACTAGAGCTATTTTTTGTAAACATCTGTTTTTATTAACAGGTACAGAGGGTGAGGAAGGGAGTAGCAGGGGTCAGGCTGGATCTACACAACTCCTGCAACAGCACACCTTTTCGTATGTCAAGGCTGCTACCTGCCAACTGGGTGAACATTTCACGTTTCTTCTTCCTGCCAGGTTTCACCTGAAAAACATCAGCATCCACCTCCAGAAATCAGGCAAGAACACATACAGTATAGTGACCGTTGGCCACCAAAAATGGTTAAACATATACTGTTAATTTGCAAAATATCTAAAGACAGAATTGTACAATCATAGAATAATTGGGTTGGAAGGTGCCTCTAAGGCCACCAAGTTTAACTCCCTACTCAACGCAGGAATCCAAATCAAAGCAAATCTGCCAGAGGGTTGTCCCATTTTCAAAGAGAAAGTCATCCTTCCTGCAACAAAACGTATTTCTGAGAAGTGGCTACTACTTCAGAAGATAGAACCAGGATTCAGAAGGACCTTAACAGAGAATCTGTCAAAAGAAAATGAATTTCAATGAAGGAAAACGTAAAGCTTTGCATTTAGGCAGGAAAAAAATCAGATGTACAGATCTAGGATGGGAGACAGCTGGCTTGACAACAGCACAAGTGAAAAGGAACTAAAGTTTTTAGTAGACTACAAGCTAAACACGAGTCAACAGTATGAAACTCAGCTGCATCAACAGAAGTACAGTATAATGCCCAAATCAAAGGTAGTAACTTTACCACTCTATTCTGCGCCGGTCATACCTCATCTGGAATACCACATCCAGTTCTGGGCACCATAAGGCTGTGCCTTTGATTTTTATGCCAGCATATGACCCATAACAACATTCTTTCTCTCTTCCTCTGAATTCACCTTCCATTCTTCTTTCCAGTGAACTTCTTCCGCCAGGCTAGAGGACACCAGCTAAATTTTGTTCATTATATACATATCAGTTGTATTTGTCTTGATACACAAATGGGCTTACATTAAAAAGTCAATTCAAGAATACAGAACAAAAGAAAATAAAGTAATTGTTCATCATATATGAGAACAATAGCATCAGTTAAAACACGGGGAGAACAATTTTAGACTCACATTATATCAGATTCCAGCAACACGGCATGTTAAAAATGGCTGCTTATCATGCATGATCAGTTGGGTAGTAGGGGGATGAGATGCTGAAGATACAAAAAGAGCAGAAAAATAGAAGACATTCCCAAAGCCCACCAGCCAGAGACTGTGCATGTGGTGACACCTACACACCACGAAGACACAGCTGTGCAGCCCAACCTAGACCATTTACAGTATATCACAGAAGTGAGTACACCCCCTCACATTTCATAAATATTTTAGTCTATCTTTTCATGTGCATATACACACACATGTGGATTAAAGCTATATTAAATTAATGCATAAATCTATATGTATTGAAGGTACAGTGTTAGATTTTTTAAAAATTGGAATAGTGTGCAACAGGAACTTGGCACACCTTTGTGTTAAGTCTCAAGTTATAGCTCATGTGTTTGCTCTAAGTGACCTGACATAAAACAGTGTAGTATAAAAAATATGGCAATAGCAACCAATGAAATAACTTGTTAGTTAGAACTTAAGTCTACACCAGCAACAGGTACACACAAAGTAAGAAAACAGGTGTGCTACTAATTAACCAGGTACTGTTAGAACAGGCAAGAGGCAAGAAGCTCACCACAGCAGCGATCAACAAGGTGAAACAAGAATATCAACACACATAATAGGTCCAGTTAGAGGTGATATCAATCTTCAGGCATCATACATGCGGTCACATCACACATCACAGAAAACTTCTGTAGAGAAGCTGATTCTGGCTCATCCAGATTCATATTTTTGTGTCCTAAACTATGGATCCTGCATGCATCATGTGGCAATTTTCTCCAATATCCAGAGGACATTTTGTTCATACCAATTACAGCCAGTGGTGTGTTCCTATTTTTTTAAAAAAAAATCTCTGAGAGGTTAAGGAACAAGCAGCAAAATACGAATGGTCAAGTATAATCTCTAAATCCTGTGAAATACCAGGTTCTGTAGAGAAGCTGATTCTGGCTCATCCCGATTCATATTTTTGTGCCCTAAATTATGGATCCTGCATGCATCATGTGGCTATTTTCTCCAATATCCAGAAGACATTCTGTTTGTACCAATTACAGCCAATCTTTTTCTGTGGCTTTCCCATGGTGTGTTCCTATTTTTAAAAAAAAAATCTCTGAGATTTTAAGGAACAAGCAGCAAAACACCAATGGTTAAGTATAATCTCCAAATCCTGTGAAATACCAGGTCCCCTCTGTTCAGCACTGGTTAGGCCTCACTTTGAGTATGGTGTCCAGAACTTTAAGAAAGATGCCAACAAATGAACAAATGAACAAGTTGAGAGGAGAGAAGCAAGAACGATCAATCTCTGAGATTTTAAGGAACAAGCAGCAAAACACCAATGGTTAAGTATAATCTCCAAATCCTGTGAAATACCAGGTCCCCTCTGTTCAGCACTGGTTAGGCCTCACTTTGAGCATGGTGTCCAGTTCTGGACACCACACTTTAAGAAAGATGCCAACAAACGAACAAGTTGAGAGGAGAGAAGCAAGAATGATCGGGGGACCGAGAACCAAGCCTTCTGAGGACAGACTGAAAGAACTGGGCATATTTAGCCTTGAAAAAATAAGGCTGAGGGAATATATAATAGCTCTCTTCAAATACTTGAAAAATTGTCATACAGAGGAAAGGTAGGATCTGTTCTCGATCCTTACAGAGTACAGACACATAATAATATGCTCAAGCTACAGGAAGACAGATCTCGATTGAATATCAGGAAAAACTTCCTAACTGTTAGAGCAGTAAGACAATGAAACCAATTACCTCAAGAGGTGGTGAGTGCTCCAACACAGGCATCTCATAGTCCACAGGGCAGGGGGTAATAAGAGGCACCCAACCATATTTGCTCATGGCCATATAACATTTAGGGAAACCCACAGTGCAATCATACTTGCAGTATATTTCCTCCAGTTTTAGTTACTGTATCTGAAAAACAACATTGCAGAACTCGAATAAGGGCAGAAAGGATAACCATAGTAATCAAGGGGCCCACTTGACCTGCGTATGAGCTTTGATTACAGTGTTTGGAGTTTTTTACCTCAGAAAAAAAGGCAAATAAAGTGAGATATGATAGAAGTGCATAAAACCATGCACCGTGTGAAAAAAAATGGATTTCCTTCTCTCACAATACTAAATCTTAAGGTCATCCGCTGAAAAGGAATTTTTTCACACAAGTAACTTAAGAAAAGAAAGAATTTGCTGTATTGTTTGCTAATTACTTGGATAATTTTGAAAAAAGATGATTACACAAACTCATAGAAGATAAAACTATCCATGGCTGCTAGTTTGAATGGATGGATGGATGAATGAATGAATGAATGAATGAATGAATGGAGTATCAATATTTCTGCCTCTGAACGCCAGTTGTAAGGGGATATGAGTTACTGCTTTAATGGTTTCTTTTGTCACTATGTGGTCAGAATGATGAACTAGATAGGACTCTTCTGGAGGCCTAATCATTTCTGAAAGACCAGAAAGCAAAGCTTCTCAGGATGATCTTAACACCCAAGCAGATACATGTGGAGGTAGATGGTCCTTCATGTTTGTTGTTTAGTCGTTAAGTCATGTCTGACTCTTCGTGACCCCATGGACCAGAGCACGCCAGGCCCTCCTGTCTTCCACCACCTCCCGGAGTTTGGTCAAATTAATGTTGGTGGCTTTGGTGACAAGTTGGTAGCTTCGGTTCCTTCATGTTATCAGGTCCTAAATTTTGTTGTGCTTTAAAGGTCACACCCAGCAGCTCAATAACATTAAGTGTGAAGGAAACTGGGGACCAAGATAAGGGATACAAGTGCCATATATAATATGCATTCAGCTCCATCCTCATGGCTATGTTCTGTTTCGGCAAATGTTTTTGAGTCAGTTTCATTGCAACAGTCTGGATCCAACCATTGCTTGCATAAATGAGTCGAGGTCCATATTCTCCAGATAGCGCTATGGCTGACACACCAGTTTCACTTGGTAGAATATGCCCCTTCCCATATTATCATCCGCACCCCTATAGGTGGTGCTGGGTCTTCTATAAACCAACTACAGTAGCTGTTTCATTATTCTGAAGGAAAGCAACCCCACCTAGAATTGAATGCAAATATTTAGCCAAGCTAGTCACCTTCCCAAACAACAGTATGTACTTGACTCTAAACATCTGGAGACCTAAGGCTGGGAACCACTGTTCTAGATGTTAGAAGGCATGAAGAATAAAACAGAATCCCGTGGCACTCCAAAGGACATAAGTCAAGACAGTAACCTCCAGGACAAACCAGGGATGAGGATTCAAACTGCAGGACTCGCTGTCAAGTTGGACATAAGTCACACCCATGACTTGACGCAAACTGCATTCAGGTTTGGTTTTTTCCCCAATGACTTGGGCTTGACTTGTGATTCATAACCCACCCATCCACCCCTCCCTTTTTTCAGGGGAAAAGAGCTTGTTTTTAATAGGGACTTCAGGCTTGGGACTCAGGACTCAGACCCAAAGACTTTGCCAGCACCCCTGGGACAAATATCAAGGCCTGATCACCAGAAAGGACTGGAGCTACCCTAACATCATACTTTTTAATTCCAAGTTAGTAAAAAAGAAAAACATGAGGAATAGTAACTAGAAAATGATATCAGCAAAGTGCAACCTTGCAAATATTCATCGACTGTTAGCATTTCCCCATCAGTTGCTATTAGATAAGGGAGTTAGGAGTTACAGTTGAACATCTGGAAGGCAGTACTTTGCCAGTTGAGAGATGCAGAAGAATTAAGAGAGGGTCACTTTCCTGTTTACTTCCCAGTTCAAAGCATCCATCAGGGCTACCAAGACACTTTGCATCCCATAACCAGTGCAGAAACCAGACTGAAATGCATCCAGGAAAATCTCAAAAATACACTTCCATGGGCACATGGCGTGTTCATCCTATGTCAGCTGTACTTATTTATAGCTTTGTAATGGTGGTGGTCATGACTGAGTGAGGATACAGCTGAGAGATCAAGCAAGTTCAGACAGAAATGGGACTATCCAGATGTTAATTATTTAAAACAGCAGGCTATAAAGCAATTACCTATCTGCCAGGCAGGTTTGGCTGTCACAAAAAGGCAAAGCTTTAGTTTTTAGGGTAAAGATCAGAGTCCACCAAGGGTAGCAACTATTTAATATAAATCAGCAGTTGCAGAAAATTGGCTTGTTAGTGCAATATAGTGCACTAAGAAGGATAGTTATCGGATTATGTAATATTCTTGTGTTATTTTATTGTTTTTTGTTGTATTGGAAGCCGCCTAGCGTGGTCGTATAGACCAGATGGGCGGGATGCAACTCAAATAAATAAATAAATAAATAAATAAATAAATAAATAAATAAATAAATAAATAAATAAAGTTTTTTTTTGTTTATCCCCTTATATATACATTATATGGCCTACGTTTACTATTTCTAAATAGGCTGGGGCTTCTTTCCCTATATATGGGGTATAACTTTAAAACTTGAAGAATATTAGAACAGAGGATAAAAAACTTGGCAAGCGGGGCTGTATTTTAGCACCTCTCTTAGTTTATTTGCAGGTTATTAAAAAGCTTAACTTTGCACTTCATATGTGGATTAATAGTCTCAGCCCCTTCGCCCCCTTTGCTTTTGCTAAACCAGAAGGAGAGCAGATAAGCCTCATCTCTTATCGCATGCGCAGGAGCCCTCTTGTCTTCCAGGAGAAACAACCCACCCCCCGGCCAACAGAGGGCGGACTGATAGAGCTGGCCACGCCCTTTATGTTAATCAGCGCTGAATCACGCTCACCTGAGTGAAACTAAGCCCCGAGCCGTCACGGAGAGAACCGAGTCGCCCTGAACTGACTGGTCCACACAAACCCCATACGGGGGGGGGGAGACCAGGAAATAGAAAATGCGGTCTAACCGCCATAATCATGTTTTCTCGTTCTTTTTGAAATCCCAACCAGAGCGTGAAGCCATAACCCGAAATAACCGGCGGCCTTATTTAAGAAAATTACAGGCTCAGTGGTTGTCCCCTTGACAACGGTACCCCTTTCCCCGCGTCGAGCTTTGGTACGTCCCGAAGGCGAAAGGGGCGGAGGGGGGGGAGAAGGAGAAGGTGGTGCCCGGAGAGGGCCACGTGACCAGCAAGGCCGGCCGCCATTTTGTCCTGCGGTGGCTGGTATTTAGAGCAGGTTGCGCGCTCAGTGGCGGATCCGCGGCTGTCGAAGGAGGTGCTGGGGGAAGCTGCAGCAGCAACGCCGACGCCGCCCCTGCTCTGAGCGGGATCCACGCCGACGCCAGCAGCCACCCCCGCTGCTGTTTTAGCTACGCCATTTTGCTGCTGTCCTCCCTTTTTTTCCCCCCCGAAGGGAAGAAGACGCGGCGGTTCTTAAGGGATAAGGAGTCCTTCCCGCCAGCCCCGCTGCTGCTTCTTGCCGCCGCCCATATCTCCGTGGAGCCCGGTCCCAGCGTCGCCGTCCTTCCCCTTTTCTCTCACGCACCCACACACACACACGTCGCGGTCCGGGCCGGGCTCCTTGCAAACGCCGCAATGTCGTCGCCCTCGACCAGCACCGTGCCCGAGTACTCCTCCTTCTTCGCCGTCATGGGCGCCTCGGCTGCCATGGTCTTCAGCGGTGAGGCACTGGGGTAGACTGCCATGGCGGGTGGGGGCTCTGCGGGCCACCGGGGAGGCTCTTCCCAGGGCCTAACCCATCTGGGCGGCGGGGGGGGAGAGGAGGGAGAGAGAAAGAGAAGCCGGCCTCGCCTCCCCCAGGGTGGCTCTGCACCAGTGGCCACTTCTGGACGCCCCCCCATGGCACCCCCTGGGCGCCCATTGCATTGCATGGACTTGGGGGGGTGGAGGGTGTGATAGGGGCCATGCAGGGGCCCGTTTCGATTCGGCTTTAATCCCTGAGCCTCTCTCTCTGGTGGGCTCCTCCCAAGGATCTGTCCTCCCTGGGACTTATTTATTTTAAATTGACCCTGAAGCCTCCCTGCCTCCCCAGGCAGCAGCCCAGTCACGGTCCTGGATAGAGGTTGCTTGGGGAGGGGGAGGCTTCCCTACTGCGCCCTCCCTTCTCTGTCCCGACGCTGCTTCATTCGTTGTGTAATCCCAGGAATGCCTCTTTCCCTGCCCTTTTTTTTTGTCACGGAATTGGGGGGGGCTGTGGAAAGGAGATGGGGTGCTGGTGCTTCGGGCTCCCCGCCCTTGACCCCCCCCCAGTTGGTTGGGTGAAGGAATCATTGAGGAAGATCTGCGCCACCCAAGACGCTGAAGAGGCTTTGCAAAAAATCGCTTCCTTAGGCAACCTGGTTTCTAACCAGCTTGAAGGACTGCTACCATCCTGGGCCCCAGGAGCAAGCACCCACCGAGCCTTAAATCTGCCAGCCTGGAGCCTTTTTATTGTAAGGCAATGCAGATGCCCTTCTTTGCCCCAGTCCTGGGGCTCGGCTCAGGGTAGTTTTTGCCTTCCTCCTCCTCCACTTTCCACCCACCCAGTGGCTGCAGGGATGTTCCTGCCTGATGATGAGGAAGCCAGGCAGTGCGGGGGCGAAATCCCAGTCCAGCTGGAGCCCAGCCGGCTCCTCCTGTCACTTTCGTTGCTGCTCCTCCTGCTACCACCACCTCCCTTGGCTTCCCGAGCTTTTCTGTGGCTTCCCAGGTCTCTCGGATAGCTCCTACCAGCTGGCTCATCCGGGTTTTTGGTTTGGGGGGGGGAAGGGAAGGGAAGGTAAAAATGCTGCTGCAACGCAAAGGGGCAGCGAGAGTGATGTCATAAGGGATGAACATTAGCTGGTGGAGGAGCCCTGGCTGGCCATGTGATTGCAAGGAGCAGGGAGGGTCAGATTGCTGTTGCTGTCTCTGCTGCTTCCCTGCCTGCCCTGGGTAGGACTGACTGAATAAAGCACAGTCTGTGTTATCCCCATGCAGCCTGTCCATCTCTTCCAGGACAGTTGAGCCTGCAATGTCTCCCGTCTGGCGCCTGGAAGTGCATTTTTATTTTTGTGCATGATGCCAGTCTTCCTCCCTGTCCACTGGTACCAAAGCATAACTTATATCTGGATAGGTTATACCATGCAACTTGGCCTTTCTTTATGAGTTTGATGAAAGCATTGGGTTTAGCTCTGGAACAGGATAATAATGAAGTCCCAGAAGAAGCCTGCCTGACACAAAGAGTTTCCTAATAGCAGCATTCTTAGTTGTGGTTTGGGCATATCAGCTGAATTTCACCTTGTTAACCAGCATTGCTTAAGCAGAACGTACTTGTGAAATGTTGCTCACAAGAGCCAGCATTCATTTTGAGCATTACCTTCCTGAGAAAGGAATGTGTGGCATAGTGAACTGGTGGCTGAATGTTCAACATTTTGAACTGAGAATTGCATGGTGCGGTAGAGTGCATGGAGGAACCTGATCCCCATGAATTCTTCACATTAAACTCTTACAAATCTTGTCCAAGAGGTCACAGTCTGGTGTTGAGAAGCCTTGTTGACCTTTGTAGTCTAAACATTAGACACAACAGTAGTCAAATTGCCTTTGATCTGCTTAAAAGCTCTGTCAGAGCTGTAATTTACTCGGCTAACCCTGTGAAGAGTCCTCTGATGGCTCAGCAATGTTGCTAGTGCTAATTGCAGAATCAAAAACGTTTAAGAGGGAAATGTAATAAATATTGCTGCTATTGTACACCTACAGCAGTGGTTCCTAGCCTTAGGTAACCCAGGCATTCTTAGCCGTCAGCTCCCAGAACCCCACCCGGCAGAGCTAGGGGTGAAGGCTTCTGGGAATTGCAGTCCAAAAGCACCTGGATTACTCCAAGGTTGGGAACCACTGTTTTACATTCATAGCCGGAATGGTGTGCCAGATAAAGTAGGATAGGAAGCAGTAGACCAGAGGTTCTAAATCTCACTAAATTGTGGAAATTCAGCTGCAGGCAGCTCTGTAAACTGCTACTTAAATGTCTCATGTGTCTTAAAAATCCTTGTTGGAGCACCGCAGGTTGGATGCAGTTGATGGCAAATAGCTTAGGTTTGTAGCAGTCTTCCCTGTGCCCACCAGGAATGTCAGGCTACTTCTCCCACTATACCTACTCAGTATTGTTTAGTCATTAAGTTGTGTCTGACTCTTCGTGACTTCATGGACCAGAGCACGCTAGGCCCTCCTGTCTTCCACTGCCTCCCGGAGTTGGGTCAAATTCATGTTGGTCTCTTCGATGACCCTGTCCAGCCATCTCGTCCTCTGTATCTTCCCCTTCTTTTGCCTTCGCTCCTTCCGAACATCAGGGTTTTTTACAGGGAATGTCCTCTGTCATCCCCTTCTCTTGCCTTCGCTCTTTCTGAACGTCAGGGTTTTTTTACAGGGAATATTATCTTCTCATAAGATGGCCAAAGTATTAGAGCCTCAGCTTCAGGATCTGTCCTTCCAGGGAGCACTCAGGGTTGATTTCCTTCAAAATGGATAGGTATGTTCTCTGCACTCCAGGGGACTCTCGAGTCTCCTCCAGCACCACAATTCAAAAGCATCTATTCTTCAGCGGTCAGCCTTCTTTATGGTCCAGCTCTCACTTCCATACATTGCTACTGGAAAAACCATAGCTTTGACTATGCGGATCTTTGTCGGCAAGGTACTATCTCTGCTTTTAAAGATGCTGTCGAGGTTTGACATCGCTTTCCTCCCAAGAAGCAGGCGTCTTTTAATTCCAAGGCTGCTGTCACCATCTGCAGTGATCATGGAGCCCAAGAAGGTAAAATCTGTCACTGCCTCCATATCTTCCCCTGCTATTTGCCAGGAGGTGATGGGACCACTGGCCATGATCTTAGTTTTTTTTTATGTTGAGCTTCAGACCATTTTTGGCACTCTCCTCTTTCACCCTCATTATGAGGTTCTTTAATTCCTCCTCACTTTCTGCCATCAAAGTGGCATCATCTGCACATCAGGTTGTTGATATTTCTTCCAGCAATCTTAATTCTGATTTGGGATTCCTCCAGCCTGGCCTTTCGCGTGATGCATTCTGCATGTAAATTAAATAAGCAGGGAGTCAATATACAGCCTTGTCATACTCCTTTCCCAATTATGAACCAATCAGTTGTTCCATGCCCAGTTCTAACTGTTGCTTCCTGTCCCATGTATAGGTTTCTCAGGAATTAGATACAGTGGCCAGGCACTCCCATTTCTTTAAGGACATGCCATAGTTTGTTGTGGTCCACATAGTCAAAGGCTTTTGCGTAGTCAATGTAGCAGAAGTAGATGTTTTTCTGGAACTCTCTGGCTTTCTCCATAATCCAGCGCATGTTAGCAATTTGGTCTCCAGTTCCTCTGCCCCTTCGGAATCCAGGTTGTCCTTCTGGGAGTTCTCGGTCCACATACTGCTGAAACCTGTCTTGGAGGATTTTGAGCAGCAGTGGCCAAAATGTCTGGGTGTGGTGGAAGTTTTAGGGAAGCAGCAGGATGGGTAAAACTGCCAGAGAGCCATGTAAATAGTGTATGCTGAGATATGAGTGTCTCTTGAAATTTATTTGAGACTCTGCTATGCTCTGTCTTGCAAGATCCTAGAGGTGCTGTTTTCCATATAAAATTCTGCTATGCCAAAACACAACCAGTATGATGTATTAGAGAAACTGATGAAGTAGGACTTCTGAAGGCCTGGATTTGAATCCCTACTTTGCCTCGGAAACGCCACTCCTTAAATAGCTTGCCTTGAACGTTAGGGTTACTGTGAACTGATCGATGCCACATATCGCAGGCAAAGCAGAACCAAATATTTCTACCATACTTGCCGCATTTCATCTTGTTTTATGGTTGTTGTATGGCGTTCAGTGGTAGTTGCATTTTATCTTCGTGACTCTGAGATAGCTGGTCCAAGCTCAGGATCACCATGCTGTTTTCATAACTGTGTGGAAATTATAACTTGAGTCATAACAATGCTAACCTAGAAAGGCTGGAAATGGCTGACATAGTCCTAGGAAGATGGGTTTTCTGCTATTTTATTTAATTCATTGGGCACCTGCATAGGGTCTTTAGTTGCAGTCTTCATTTCTGCATTGGCAGCTACATAGATGGAAAACCTTGGGTTTTTCTGAGGGTAGCTTACACCTTCAGCCAGCCCTGCTCTGTGGCTGTGCTAAATGTGGCTGATACCTATTGAAGGCCTGCAACACCAGGAGAGCAACAGATTGCTTTGCTCTAGAAAATGCTTTAAAATATTTTGGCTTAGATATGATTCGTTATGTGTCATCAAGTTGTAACTGACTTACATTAAAGCCCTATTAGGGGCACTGTAAGTGAGATATTTAAACCGTGGTTTTACCAGTTTCACTCCCTTGGTGAGTTTCCATGGCTGAGTGGGGATTTGAACGCAGTTCTCCTTAGTCCGTCACTCTATCCACTGTACCACAATCTTCATTTGATATGTGGGTGTTCCTAATCCAGAAAACTAATGTGCGAAGAAATTTTATAGAAAAGAGAACTTGCAGATGTGTAATTTAAAAGTATGAATGCAGAGTAGCTGTTTCAGAAATACAGTCTGCTAAAACAGCAAATGGAAGACTAGTTCAGCCTGTGATATACCAGCACCCCTTTGGTCATATAGTAGTAGTTGTTGTTAACTGATTCAGACTAGGTTTTCAATCTATTAATGAG